TGAAGGGCAGTGAAGGTGATGCTGTGCTTCCCTGTACTCACACAACCAAAGATCTTTCTCCAAGGATGCGGCCACCTGGGCGGCTGGAATCTCAGTGCAGGGGGGAACAGGCTCTCCTTACACCCTGGCTCATCGTCACCCCGGAGCCGAGCCCTGCCCCGTGAAGCCATGGCAGCCTGCCGTCTGCCTGCCCGTCTCTGCCAGGAACAACCCCAGGGGCTGTGTTTCCGCCTCCCCCTCGTGAAGAGGTCCAGCGAGAAAGAAGCTGGGGCCTGGACAGTCTCCTCATGGCAACCTGCACACGTCTGCTTCCATCCTGCCTCAGCCCTCTGCTCAGATGCTCTGCCAGGGACGCCCTTCTCCCCACCTGCAGCCCCGCATCCACCCAAGCCCTCCCAGTTCTTCTGTGTCAGTTCCAAGGCCCCTTCCTCCAGCAAGCCTTCCCTGACTACCCAAGCCTCACATTGCTGAGTGACCACATCCACAGGACGTAATTCATGATTTGAGGTATTCATTCTGTTCTTCCTATGTCGTATTTCCCCACTAAGTAGAGAGTTCCCAGGGGCCAAGGATCTACACCTGCCACAACCTACCCGATTAACTAGTGTCCTCTCTCAGTCAAATAATCGGAGTTCAGTGTCCCTCACGATGATGAGGTCTTTCCGGGGAGGCCTGGGTTTCCCCAGGAGCACGGTGCTGGGTTCTTGATCTTGGAAGCCATGATGGAGACACAAAGGTCCAGGAGACTAGTGTCACTCTTGGTCACGGGGAAACAGATCTGGGATGACAACCTAGGTCTCCAGACTTGAAACTCCATGCCTGATCTGCACTGCCCACCGGGTGGCCTCAGGCAAGTCTCCTCCCCGCTCTGGGCCTCAGTTTCCCCTTCTGTCTAACAAGGGGTTCCTACAGGCTCTGACAGTCTGTAGCCTAGGACTTGGCCCTGATTTTGGCGTGCCAGCAGTGATGGCTACATTGTCTGAAAGGGTTAAACTCCAGTCCTTCCCATTTATTACAACAAATGGCACTAAGCGGACTGTGGGTCATTTAGTGTGCGGAGGATCCTTGAAGGATTCTTTTTTTTTAAAGATTTTATTTATTTATTTGACAGACAGAGACACAGCGAGAGAGGGAACACAAGCAGGGGGAGGGGGAGAGGGAGAAGCAGGCTTCCCGCGGAGCAGGGAGCCCGACGCGGGGCTCGATCCCAGGACCCTGGGATCATGACCTGAGCCGAAGGCAGACGCTTAACCGACTGAGCCACCCAGGCACCCCATCCTTGAAGGATTCTTAATGCCTTTGGAAGTGGGGTCCCTGTCTCATTGCACCTGGAGGCCACGCTGCATCTGCACCATGCTCTGGCAGAGGCATCTGCGGGACATCACATGGCGAGAGGTCCCCGAGGAGCTAGTGGGTGAGGCAAGGTAGCCACTGGCGGGTGTGAGCACTGACAGGCAGCCCATACATGGAGTGTGCCTGGCTGGGGGCCCTTAGGGACCACTGACTCCAGTCCAAAGGGGACAGAAAATAGGCAAATCAGAGGGGGCTAAATGAGGTGGGGACAGCCTCCTGTTATAGGACACTTGTCAGGACAGGCAAAGCTGGGGCAATGGGGCTCGGAAAGGTGGGTCCTGGCTCAGGTCATGCTCAGCTCTGAGGAGTCTCCCTTCTTTCCCTAGCTAATATGCCCATCCCACCTTGCTCATCTTACAAGGCCAAGCTGGAATCCCTCCTTCTTTTCTAGGAAGACTTCCCTGCCTGCCAGCAAGTAGGTCCTGCTCTTCCTGGGGAGGCCTGAGTCTCTGTGTGGTTCCCTTTCATTTAAGCCTTTGCTGAGTGCCAAGTCTTGCCCTCGAGGTGTTACCTGCTTTGGGTCTTCAGGCTGCCCCTCCCAGGGGTACCATGTTTCCCATTATATGGACAAAGAAACAGAAGCTCAGAGAGGCAAAGCGACTTACCTATACTACCTGTGATATCTGATGCTAAAGCTTTCACTCCTCGTGCCCAGACTAGACCACTCTTCCTGGGCATACCCCAAGCTCCTGGAGATGCCACTCAAAAGTCCTTATGTCAACAATTCCTGTATTCTCCCAATGCCCAGGTTCTGTGCGGGGCCCTGAGGAAGTGACAAGGACAAGGGAGACTCAGGCCCCAGCTTAACAAGAGTCCAGTGTGCAAGCATTTTCCTGAATCGGAGATGGAGGCTATGGACCCTCTGTGTGTGTGTGTGTGTGTGTGTGTATCTTGGGAAGTGGGGGCAGGAGAGTGAGGACTGGCCTGGGGTGACCTGTCTAGTTGAGGTGGGGTCTGGGAGGGCTTCCTGGCATAAGCAGTATTTATGGGTCCATAAATATCATGGGCTCAAGTGGTAGGGATGAGGGAGTATGTTCCTGGTGGAGGGAACCATAGGAGGAAAGCGCTAAGAACACCGGGAGCTGTCTAGCCCACTGGCTAATGGAATGGCAAAGGGTGATGAGAGGGAGGCTGGAGGTGAGCACGCTGGAGTGGGGATCTTGCTGCCCCGGGTGTCCTGGGTGGACATTCCCGATGGGCTTCCTCCTCCCTTGTGTGGCATAGCCAAGCCCACGACTTGCTTGGCCCGTAGGAGTGTTTCCATAAAGACCTCTCAGTTTCTTCTGGTCTGCTGAGCTGACCTCCCCTCAGCCCAAATGCAGGACTGGCACCAGCCAGGTCCCCTGCCATGGCTGGCCCCTCTCTGCAGGCTGCAGCTTTACCTGCCCCTGCCACCCCGTGTCTTCCAGCACAGGCACCTCTTGGCCAGGTAGGTAGTCTTTGCTGCCAAACATATCAATGTGCCTGCCATGGAAGTCCCCCTATTTCTGGGAAGACTTGATTTTTCCTCCCATGATTTTAAACTGGGGCTGGAGCCAGCTGCCAGGAGGCTGAAGATGTTGTGAGCCTCAAAGTTGGAATGTGTAAATTCTTACTACCAGTGTACTCTTAATTACCTTCCCTCCTTATTTGTCTTCCTTTAACGGCCTGTCAACCAAAAGCTCCCACCTTTCCCTCTGTGCCAGCAGCCTCAATTAGGTGCATATCTGTGGCGGCTGGAACTGAAATGCCCAACTACCAAAGCCCACTCACCGCACCCAGCCTGGATACAGCTGCCTGATGGCTTGGGCACTCTTCAGGTACAGTACTGCCACTCGGTGCCGAAGGGCAGAGAGACTGCCCCGACACTTCTTACCCTGCCACTGCAGAGCCTGCTTTGGGAAGGTTCCCAACCTAACCCCAGAGGACACCTAACCCCAGACGGTAACACCCTTTGTGCTGGGTCCCTGGAGCCATGCACTACAGGCATTTATCCAGCAAATAGATGGGGGAGGACACCATGCACCCATCCTGCCCTGGGTATGGGGGCTGGGAGGGGGCTGGTTAGCTCAGGGCATGTCGACTCTTCTGTGTAGAACCTCCCCACCCCCACCCCCTCTGTCTAGCCTGGAGGGACTGCCCAATCCAGAGGTGGGGGTGGGGACATCTGGCACAATCAGGCATCTGGTTTGGTGAGAGCCCTGCTTGTCCCCGTACAGCTGGCCCAGCTTGGCCTCCCAGAGTCCACTAGGCCCCTTCTGGTCACCAGGCCCCAAGCCAGTCAGGGGTTCGGGGCTCAGGGCACTGCCTTCCTCAGACAATGTTTTGGGGGCCTCAGAGTTTGGGACCTATTGGCAAACCTCACTCAGATCAGGGGAGGGGGAAACTTCGAAGCTGTCCCCTTGTCAAACCCTGGCTTGTGAGGGTGGGGCAGGCATGGGACAGCCCAGGCAGGACTGGGGAGCTAGTAAGGGTTGTCCTGAGCCTTATTTCCAGCCCCTGACCTCTGCCCTCCTTAGTCTAGGGGCCACCATTCTTCCCTCAACATTAAATCCTCCTCGGGCTGACCTGTGAGTACCCAGGGAGTGGGAGGCTCACCCCGATATCATGAAGTGGGGGCTCTTGCCCAGGTGGCTACTGTTCCTCATTCCTCATGTTAAGCGCAAAGTCTGTGGTCAGCTACTGCTGAAGGGATCTTGCCCCAAGCCGGGCTGGCAGGAAACATTCTCCCAGCCTATCTGCACAGGGGGAAGAGCAGAGTTCCAGGGGCAACTTCCGGGGAATCTCTCGGATGCTCTCTCCCAACCAAGAGCATTTCAGTTTACCAAGCAATTGACTCCCATTCTCACCTCATCCTAGAAATGGGGTTAAGCACCCACACAAGCATCCACAAGAGAGGAAACAGGCTCTGAGAGGCCCACAAGCTGCAGGGTCAGAAGCCACACCAGCCCCAGCCTTCTCCCTGCAGCAGGGAGGAGCCAGGGGCCTCAGGACAGAAACGATTGGATTGTGCAGGGGTGAGCTTCCGGGCACTGGAGGAGGAGGCTCTGGAAGCCTCGGGGCTGGGGCTAGGGGCCGGTCAGCAAACAGTGCCTGCTTAGGCCGGTGAAGTAAATGAGTGGCTGTGGAGGGCTGCATCCTGCCATTCTCAGCCCCTCACAACTGTGCAGCTGGATCCAGGTTCCCGCTCAGAGATCCAGGAGACCCAGGCCCTTTCTTTCTGTCATGGCGTGGGGACCCGAGTCCCCTAGGAGAGGACTCCTGCAAGTGGCGAGAGCCCCTGGGGGTGTGAGTTCAGCACCGATGCCCTCTTCTCTGGTCTGCTAAAGAGTGCCATTCCACCATTAAACCTGTGACTCCAGGCCTTAAGCCTGTTGAAGGTCGAGCCCCCAGAAGGGTCACACAGGCGCCTGCCGTGGGCCGCGGGGCCAGAAACTCCTACCGCGGGTGCGGCGGAGAGGGGCACGGCGTCCGAGGCTGGCGGACAGAGGCGCGCACCGGGAGGTGGGCCCACGGCTGGGGCGCAGGACGCGCGCGCACGGGCTCCGCTCGGCCGCGCGGGCCAGCAGGGCCGGCTCGGGGCTGCGCGGGCACGAGGGGCGCGCGGGCACGGACGGGCGCGCGGCCGCGGCGGGGGCGCGCGGGGGCGGGCCGGCCGGGGAGGGCGGCGCCGGCAGGTTGGCGGCGGCCGCTATTTGAGCGCCGGTCCCGGGCCGGGCGCTCAGAGCGCTTCGAGTCAGCGCGGCGGAGAGATCGCGGCGCGCCGCCCGCAGAGGCGCTGCGGCCCGTGCAGCCCCGGAGGCCCCGCGCGAAGGAGGCGGAGGAGGCGGAGAGGCGGAGAGGCCGGATTGCCGCCCGCCGCCCGCGCCCCCCCTCCCCGCGGCGCCGCATCTTGAATGGAAACATGGCGGTGCCGGCTCGGACCTGCGGCGCCTCTCGGCCCGGCCCGGCGCCGACTGCGCTCCCCTGGCCCGGCCGCGGCCCCCGGCCCGGCCCCGGAGCCCGGCGCCCGCTGTTGCTGCTGTTGCCGCCGCTGCTGCTGCTACCGCTGCTCGCCGCCCCCGGAGCCTCTGCCTACAGCTTCCCCCAGCAGCACACGTAAGTGGCCTCCCCGGCCGGCCGCGGGACCCCGCCGATCCCTGCGCGCCCCTCCGCCCCTCCGCCCCCCGGCCCCCCCGGCCCGCGCCCGTCCCTCCCCGCGCCGGGGCGGGGGCGCTGGGTCCGGCTGCGGGCTGCGCCCCGGGGGCGGCGGCCCCAAGACCAGAGGGCGGGCAGCCGCGGTCCCGGCGCTTCTGGCTGCGTCGCGAAACTTCCCCGCGGTGCCCCTTATCCGCCCCCCAACCCCCAAACGGGGCAGAGCAAGATCTGCAAGCCTAGGGATGGGGTGGGGGGTTCCGAGTTTGCCAGCTGATTCCCCTGCCGCTGTCCCGGTGAGAGGGGAACCTGAGGTTGGGTGAGGGGGCGGCCGAGGACCCCTGCCCGGCAGAGCTGGAGTCGCGCGTCTGCCCCACGTTTCGTCCCCAGTGGGAACCCGGCGCTTTTGAGCCAGAGGTGGGGGACACCTCCACACCTGTCTTCATTGGCCTTTTCCTTTGACGGGAAGGGCTGGATGCGGAGGATGCAAGCACCTTCTTGTGACCAGTACCACAGAGGGGGTCAATGTCCCTTGTTCTTGTCCCCTCACTCCACCTGAGGGGAGGGTCCCCTGGAGAGCCCAATTGGGAGGTGAAGGTGCTGGGATGGAGGCAGAAAGTGAATGGCAGGGAGGACCCCTGCCTGCTCGCGCTGCTGCCGCCGCCACTTACGTGTGCTGCTGGGGGAAGCGAATGGCATCTCCTGGCCCTGCCGCTTCTGCTGGTTCTCGTGGTCCTTTTGAGCCTTCTCTCCCTCCCCAAGAGCCCGCAAACTTGGGCATCCTCCTCTGGTGAGCTTGGCCAGTTGTGTCTGGGGCTCGGAGTGGGTATTCAGTGCATGTGGCCTTTAGGACAGCAGCTATTTCTGTGGGCACCATGCCCCGGACTTATGTCAGTGCCCAGACACCCCTCGCCCCTGTGGCTTTGGGCCATGGTGACCACCTTGCTGTCTGTTATGTCTCCAGGTCTGTGGAGCCACCTGTCCCTGGAATCCTTCGCCAGTAGTCAGGCCTGGGGTTTGGGAAATGAGTAGCTGGGCTGCTAGTGGCCAAGGGGAAGGTTCTGGCCTCAGGGAAGGGGAGAGGCTGACTCTGCGTCATTAGACCATTTCTGCCTCAAAACCTGCCGACTCCAGCTTGTAGGTTCTCCCAGATAAGGGCAAAACAAACTCAGAAAAGGCACCGCTCTGAGTGTCTCTTCGTCTCGTCGTTTCTTTCCTCACACAGCCTGGCTGTGCTCAGGCGGGTGATCAGTCGGCAAATTACAGGTGCCGCACGGACGTGTCCTCTGTCAACCGTCTGGATTGTTTGTGTGTGCGTTGGGGGGTGCGCAGGGAGAGGAGGATCATATGGAAGTTCAGGGCTTGTGGGGGCGTTATGTCTTTCATTTGCTGTGATGAAAATGGATTTCAACCATAGTGTTTAAAAAGAGCAAAAGCGTTGTTTTTTTGTTGTTCTTTTTTCCTCAAAGCCAAGCCACAATATTTTTCCCCGAGCCATTTCCTAGCTCCTTGATTGAACGAAGGTTTAAATAGATGTCTCTTTTCACCTCTTCCCACCTCGCCCCCTCTCCTTGCAACCTGCAGTGGGCCAGATGGCTGTCGGGCCCGCCATGGGTCTCCGTTGGAAGGACAGTGTGAGACCCTGACCAGAATGGACCCCTGTCACTCTGTCCCCAGCAAGAAGACGATGAGGCGGGTGTGATGGCACCAGCACATTTCCAGCTGGACGCTCTTCTCTTGTTGATAGAGTTGGAGCTAATTTGAGGGTTTGGGACATGTCTCGCAAACCATAATTAGAGAATGAGAGTGGGGGGTGGGATGGGGGCTGCGCGGCTCTGAGGGTCCAGGGGGAAGTGACTGATGTGACGACGACACACAGGGTTTACCGTGACAGCCCGCGCCCTTCAGCTGCCCTGGTCCCGCAGATGCGGATGCCCATTGACCCTTGGAAGGAGGAAGGGGAGGGAATTGAGTGAGGGCCCCCACATGACTGCAGCTAGCTGGAGCGGGGGCTTTTGTTGAACTCACATGAAAGGCTGAGGCGGCTGCCGTGGGGCTGCCTTGGGGTGGATGGCCTCCCTGAACTCTCCGGGGTCAGTGGCCAGGCTAGGACGAGACGTCGATACAGGTGGCTTTCTGAGATGCGAAGTGGGAGCCTCAGTGTCATGGCACTGGGGTGATGGCCCCTCAGTGGAGAGGGCCCTAGACGGCAAAGTCGTTTCCTCAACCACGCCTGGCAGAGCGATGGGGCCCAGCTCTGCGAGCTACTGGGTTTTAAGCCAGTGTGGGTTTGGGGTCCGATAGCCATTATTTCTGTCATCACTGTGGCAGCGTGGCTCTCTGCCCATCAGGCGAGTGGATTGAGACAGCCGCTGGAACAAGGAGGGCAGAGGAATTGCCGCTGGAGTGGGGACAGGGCTTTGGTTTTGGCGGCAGAGGGTAGGGGGTACTCCCTCACCCCACTTGGACCGAGATTAGGGTTTCAAACAAGGAGGAGGCCACAGGAGCGAGTACATATGTGTGCACACGTGCACTCGTGTGTTTGGGGCTGAAGTTCGGGGAGAAGGAGTCAGAGCACACTCTCCCTTTCCCCCGCCTCCCCGTTTCCAATTCGTCTCACTCCAGCCGTGGCCGTGGCCATGGCTGTGAATGGCGAATGGCCACCGCTGCCTGCCAAGGGCAACTGCTTTGCCTCTCCCTGCGTCTTTCTCCCATCCATCCCCGGCACCCCCCCCCCCGCCCCCTCCTTGGGTCCCCCCAGCCCCACTCCATCCCTCTCATTGCTCTGGGCCCACCCTGCCTGCCTCTTTTGTGGGACCTCTGTCCCCTGTTCTCCGGAGTCCCCAGGTTTCTCTGTCCCCTGCTCTGTGGGGCCCTGGCTGAGTGCTGGGTGGAGTGCCGGGCTGAGCTGCGTGGCTGGCTGCACCCTCTTAGCCCCACTCTGCCCCAGTGAGGGTGCTGGCCAGCACCTCCCTTCCTCTGGCAGGGCGCGTGGGGAGCCGAGAGCAGCCTGAGGGGTCGGAACCCACCCAGCAGATTAATGACAGCTGGAGTACGTGCTCCTTTTCCTGAGTGCCCACGACGGGGCATGCGTCAGTCTAGCTACGGTTAATGGTGGGTGACGTGTGTCTGTCTGGGCCTCTGAGCCCGCGCCTTCACCTCCCTGTGACTCTCCCTGTTAGAGGGAGGCAACATCACACATCTGGGTCCCCCCATCTCCCCAGTGACCTGCCGCAGCTTTTGCAGGAGGGAGGGGGTGAGGCTTCACAGGCTGCTGCCACCACCACTGGCATGCAGAGCTGCCAAAGTGCTCGCATCCCTCCTGCTGTGGAGGACTTGGGGAGCCCCTTGGCTGCTGCCCCCCCCGTGCCCCCCCCCATATTGGGCACCTCCTCCTGGCCAGCTCTGTCAGACTAACCCCTGAGAGGGTGGCGGAGCTGGTTTGAGATTGCATCCCCTCCTAATCTGTGGGCGAGTCTCACGCTGGATTCTCAGTCACACTGGTGTCCCCAAGGAGAGACTGACTCACAAGTGGAGTGAGCACTTCTACGCTCAATGCCTCCTTTTCCCTTCTGCCTGTATGCAGGTGGGCACTGCCAGCTCATGGCACCTTAGATGTGTATGGGTGGACCCTGCCAGCTCCTGGGAGGAGGCAGTTAGTGGACATGCTGGGTGTCAGGTGTGTAGGCCTAGCAGGCTCAAGCGTTGGCCTCCAGAGCTGACCCTCTTGTTGCGATGATCTTGCTTCGGTTTCCCCAACTGAGATCATAGAATCTGCTTAAGAGGCTGGTGGTGAGAATTCCTGCGAGGGGAATGTAGCCTCTGGTGGGCACGGAGGGTTCCATGGGTGGACAGCACAACAGCTATCGTAAACGTTAGCATCCGGCCCTAAGGCTGCAGCCTGACCAGGCCCCTGCCCACCAGTCTTTTCCCCCTGCTCCCATGGGCTGAGTGCCTTCCTCTCTCCGCTTTGCTGATGCTGTCCCCTCATCACTGCATGCTCTCCTCAGGGGTTTAAATACCTCTTTCAAGGTCCCGTACCCACACCGTCTGGAGGCCTCTGGGTTGTGCCCCTAGCTCAGACTGTACCCACCCACATGGGATGTCACCTCCTTGAGGACAGACACTGGGCCACCTCCCTCCCTCACTGCCTGAAGCCCAGCTTGACTGTGGTGGGGAACATCACCAGGCTTATGGTGGGTCTTCTTTCAATGAGCTCAGGCCAGGCCCTTACTACATTACGGCCTTGACTGCAGAACCTGTGCTCATGCCCATCCCACAGATGAGGAGACTAAGACTCAGAAAGATGCAGGCCCTCCCCAAAGCTCCGCAACTTCTGGAGGAAGGTCTGGAAGAGGACTAATCTTTTCGATGCTTAGCTGCCCTGCCAGGAGCCTGGGCACATCTGAGCATTGGGCCCAGGAAGTGGGGGGTGGGGACTCAAAACCTGGGTCTTTGGATGAAAATGAACAGGCCTAAGACCTGTGAGGCGCGCTTAGGCCTTCCAGCTGTAACCTTTCCTGCACTGTCCCTCTGCTCTCCTGGGTCTCAGACAGCCTCGAGGGGGCTTTCTTCCTTGGCCCACAGCTGCCCTGCCAGCCCATTTCCACCCCCTTCCACATGTACACAGGTGATCATGGGGCCCCCGACTCAGATTTTCCTCTTCTCCAAGGCTTTGAGTCATAGACCAGGCCTGCCTGGCATGGAGAGGTGGGCAGGAGGGACTCCCATCTCAAGATGCCAAGATGCCATCTCCCCCTCCAGATTCCATATGATTCCAGAGAGAAGGGGCATGGGGTGGTTAATGGAAACCTGAGGCTGGATCCTCTAGTCCCTTGGCAGTTTTGTCGGCCCCGAGGGGACTTCAGAGGACTCAGACCATATAGACCTTAGAGGTTTCCATGCTGTAAGGACAGGTGTGACCTGGGGGGCTAGGGAACTATTCAAGGGCCAGCTGGAGGTTT